ACAAACCAAAGTCTTCAGAAATGGTAGATGTTATTCTCTGCTTAACGTTCAGCATTTAGTGTAATGACACAACTAGTTCACCCGTTGTCAGTATAATGTGACCGGGCGGAACGCTGTGCTGGGTTCCTTCGGCATGGTGTTTCAGTATGATAGCACTATAAAGTCGGCATCAGATCTGTGCTATCACAAAGATGCAATTACATCAACATACCCTGTCTTTAGCTTACATACACATACATAAACACATACAAGATACACATGAACACGTACTTAAATGACACTAGCTGTTGAAAGGATGTTAAACTCTATACAACCAACCAACCTTCTGTAATGATACTACATAACGAGTGCAATCTGTCACCAACTGTACTACGTACCACTAAATATCGGATATATATGACAGGTTTCACTTTACTTAGGTCCAATTTACATTTTAGGAAACGAGTTTGAAACGATGACCCTGTTTTAATATTTCGGCAATTCATGTATGTATAACTATATGTCCCACTTAATATTTTAGAAAATAAGTATGACTGGATGTCCCACTTTATAATTTAGGAAATAAGTCTGACCCGATGACCTGGTTGATAGTTTAGAAAATAGAGTCAAGAGATGTATAGATACAATTATAGGATATCATTTGTGTATACATAATGATCTGATAAACAATAATCTCCTTTCTATGTTGAATAAATAATCGAGAATTAAATGCACCCGTTGTATTACTATCTCGGGTAGACTTTATTACGGGGGTATGTACAGGTCAGGGGGGGATCCAGGATGTACAGGTCAGGGGGGGATCCAGGATTTAATTTTGGGTGTTGCCCAAAATTTTAAACTCAGAAAAAGACTCAAAAAAACTAATAAATTATAATTGTCATGTCGGTTGTACATGTATACTACCTTCTGACACCTAACAATATATAGAACTTCATTATTTCTGAGATTGCGACAATTATAATTTCTCTGCCGAGCAGAGCGAGGCGATTTTTTTTTCTGAAGATGTAATACTAACATGTTCAAGCACTGCCAAGCGTAGAAAGCTAGAATTTATCGGACATTATTTTCATTGTCAAACAGATTGAATAAGGCATAGAATAGTTTTCTGAGTTTGCGGTATTATTCCAGTATTTATATTTTATGATGGCCGGAGTGAGTGTTAACAAATTCTCTGAAACAATAATAATAATATACAACATTTGATATAGTGCCCTTTCTAGCTAACATAAGCCACTCTAAAGCGCTTTACAGTACATAGATATACAATTAATACAATTAGGATATACAATTTTGAGGAATTCGCAGGAGCTGCCTTATCAAGCGCTAACTACTAGTCCTATGCCACCTTGCTCATATCTCCCTATGTGTATATGCCTGCATGTGTGCTGGAGTTGTATTGTGTTCTGTTTGTAGTGGGACCATGCTTCCAACGGCATCTTTTTTATAGTGCCACCTCACTTGAATGCTTCATCACAGATACCGCAACACCCACCCCAGACCATTTTATACTCCACCTGGGTTGTTGGAGTTTAGTGGGCAGGAGAAAAACACTTTCTCTGATATTCCATGCGTGCCATATAATCGTAAAAATGTAGGTTTTTGGTTAAACTGTTGATGTTTGTGTCATGCCTTTCATGTGCATGTAGTTTAGGCAAGCTTTTTGGCAATTAAATATTAATTTATTTTGTCATAAATATGAATTATGATTTGACTGTTTGTCTTTTATTGTGAATTTGTATGCATGCATATGTACAAGGGCAACACCTGTTAAAAAGGATATATATATACATGCCAGGATTTTATGCTTACATTGGTTATTATTCACATGATAACGTGATGCTAAGGTGGATGCTTTATTGTCTTTGAAATTTTTGAAATTTACATTTTTTAACAGGTATAATAAATCACTCCTGGTGATCATGTGTACATGAAACCACCGGTGAAAATACATCTATCTGTTCTGTTCTGTTCAGCAGTTTCCTCCTGGAATAGGAGAACCTCCACCACTGTAATGAAATAGAACTGTATGAATAAAAAGCGTCACTGAGCGCACACTGGATCACCAATAAACAGCTGTATATAATCATGTTGCAATGACTTTGGTAGCCAGAGCCTCTGCGGTAGACATCACATGACTCCTTGAGTATCATGAAATGGACTCTACCTTTGGAATAACAATTAACATGTATCCTCTTTCAACGACAGCGTGATCACCACACCGTTCCATTTGAACAATACGATTAGGTAGACAGTCCGTTGAGCCTTCACCACTGACCTGACTGGAGACCCTACTAATATATAAACAAAAGAGGATTAACCCCCTATTGTTTATAGTTTAAGTAGTGGACTCCTTGTTTGGGCAACTGCACCCTTAGTCATATCACGGACTTTGATAACAAATCTAATTCCGTGGGCATATATAGATAATCATAGTTCACAGGATGGTTGATATTAGAAGAAAATCACATATGAAAAAGAGGAAAATCTTCAAAAACCTAAGTCCAGATTCTTTTTGGACACAGAAAAGGGGTGTTACCCGGGCAACTAGGGCAACACCACTGGGTCCGCCACTGCACGTACTGGCCGTACGTCGGTGCCAGGTTTTGGTGGACCATAGCTGTTAAAATGACGTAACACACACACACACAAAGTACGAACAGAATGTACCAGACTTAACAGTTGATATCACCGGCACGTTATAACCTCTATACGTCACCCAGTGTAACGCTTTGTAAGGGTTATCACAGTTTCTGTAGATAACACGGACGGGAGAACATTTCTGTGGAGTCCTGTTGATCCTGTGGATGTTGGTAATTTGGTCATGCTTTGGATTACTGTCAATGTTCTTATTTTAGCGGACTAACATTTTAGTGTATTATGACATTTCCAATGATTAGCGCTTTGATCAATTTGACGTGCTAATCGCACTATATGCAACAGGAAAATATTTACAGAAACTTCAATTAGAGAAGTCATAATTTAGCGCAATAAATACAGTCTGGAAAGAGATAAAATCAGAGTATCGCTAAAACATTAACATTTACAGTAACTGGCTGAACAACGGGTCCCTTTTGGTTGGTTTGTTAAACCACGGAACTAGATTGTTATCTAAGTCCGTGGTTAAACACACCATAAATATAACATATTATGTTCAATAAAAACGAGATTGCAAACACTGTGGATATGATATTTACTTATTTTAGTCATGTTTAATCAGTTATAACAGCAATTTGATTGACAGAGTAGATAAAACAAAGGATAAAACTATCAATAGAAGTGCGATGAAGGATGCATTTATGTAAGAATTTAGTATGTGGTGCAGAGAGATAAATAAAGGAAATACTTTATACAGAACCCTATCACCATTTCGACCATTTATAACCCATCCCTGGTACTGAATTGCTGATGTGGCATCGTTGAAAGCTAGTTCAAGCTTGTGGTGATGCATCATTGTTATTTCGTTCACTGATGTTAAAAGAATGAAAATCCATATCTAAAGTGTTCAGAAACAAGGGAAGATGTCTATGAAAATCCTTTGAAGGTTTATCTCATCCTCGATATCCAGGGGTTACGCTCACTTTCGCTCTCTGCACCCCTGGCATATGTCATAGCAAAATTGAAGGTTCGGTGTGTGCCCCACCTTGTTGATGAGACAAGAAGACTAGTTCGATTCTTTGATGAACATTACAAGAATCTCGCGGTCACGTAACGGTAAAAATTGACAGGCTTTGAAGTCGGGCGTCTCTCCTTTGTAATCTTCAAAGGACAGGTATCAACCTTGCGATTGGTCAGGTATTTTTTACCTGAGACCAATCAAACAGCCATCTCCTTCAATTTTGCTATGACATATTCCAGGGGTGTAGAGAGCGAGAGTGAGCGTAACCCCTGGATATCGAGGATGGGTTTATCTAGGATATTGCATTCAGGGATGGTTGGACATCTCGTAAAGTAATATCTATGATGTTGGTAACTGATCGAAGTACTAGTATACATGCTAAAACATATATTTAATTAGTAAACTATAACATTGAAAATATTATAACACGTAGGAACATCATACCAAGTATAGGGACACACCTTTGAAAGAAAGAATGTAACATACTGAATATGGTAGGTCACTATGATCTTTGCTTAATGTTTGGTCTTAGAAGAGTTCATTAAAATACTAGCTTAAAAAAAATGTGTACCAAACAATTTAAAAGATGTCCTGAACTAGGACTTATTTGGATTATTACAAATTGTAGTTATCGTATTTCATTGAATTTTTGCCGTTATTCTTTAAATCTTTTCTTTGAACTAATACGGTGAAATATATTTAGATGTGAGAAACGGTGAAAAATGTATCTTTAAAAAATAAAACCTGCTTAGGTTTAAATATGTTTGTATGTTTTAATTAGTCATAATCCAAGATGAATGATCCCAATGTCCTACAAACGAATTCTACAGACAGATATCATTTTTGACCGGATTCGTAACTTCTTCTTTTACCAAATCTGCACACGAGATCTGTAACGTCATGTATTTGTGACTTTAATGGTCTCTCCTATGAAGTAGGCGATTGTTTTTTAATTATTGTATAATCGGGAAACTTTTTATTGGAAGGATCAAAGACCATTCTTGAATTTTAAAATGACAGATATGGAGCTATTTTCTACTGTTTTATTAGTCACATTGATAAGTTTGACCACAGGTTGTCTAGTACAGTGTGAATTCACATTGACTTAATTAAGACATCTTCAAAAAGATTGTCGAAACGTTGCGACACGTTTAATACGTACATTGTTTGTGAACAAAGTAAAACTTTTATATAAGATGCATACATTGTAATGATCGTATAGATATGTGCACAATAATATACTTCGAGATGTTCCCTGAATGTAGCAGATGCGTTTGATCTACGTATCCGCCAAATCTAGTAACGTCTGATAATATTTTAGAAAAGGAAAATTCACTTCCTCGAAAAGGCTACGGTTTCGGTTTCGATTTGTATGTAGGCTATAAATAGTCATGATCGAGGTGTAGACGAGTACTACTGTCATTAAACGTTCACGGGGACACGTCCACGGTTGAAGGCAGCAATGTGGTATGTTATTTTTATTTACCTTGTGCAATATTTTAACTTAAATAGTCAATTGATAAAGAGGCTATTTTAGAGCAGCATCGTCTGTCAATATATTAGAAAATACAAGTGTATCACTCTGTGGAACGGTCAGTAAAAGATGGCCAAACCCAGGCTAGATTGATGCCACGTATGCTTTGGTGTTTTCCATGTTGATGAGCTAGATTTATGCCATCTTTCTGAGATAGTCACAATACAATGTGTATTTGACAGACGAGTGGGAGTTAGATTGGGGTTCGGGGGACATATCTATTCACAGCCTAATTGTGTTGTTGTTGTTGATATGTTTAAGAAGGCGCAATTATGCATGACAGTGTTATTTTTCTTTCTGGAATTTGAAGTGCTCTCCTCTCAAAACCCTAGATTCGTCATCCTCGACATCCAGGGGTTACGCTCACTTTTCGCTCTCTGCACCCCTTGAATATGTCATAGCAAAATTGAAGGCACGAAGATAGCTGTTTGGTTGGTATCAGGTAAAAAAAACCTGACCAATCGCTAGGCTGATACCTGTCCTTTAAAGATTACAAAGGAGAGACGCCCAACTTCAAAGCCTGTCCATTTTTACCGTTACGTGACCGCGAGATTCTTTTGATGTACATCAAAGGATCGAACTAGTCTTCTCATCAACAACGTGGCCCACGCACACTGAGCCTTCAATTTTGCTATGACATATGAGCGTAACCCCTGGATATCGAGGATGTATATTCGTATGCCCGTTTCTATAGATACATGTCCTATAACCTGTTCTTCGATCCTTATACTGATACATACATAATTTGCACGTGTTTGCTGATTTCTCTAGCGCTACATGTAGCGATACTGATTGGTTCATCCATCGCAAAAATAAATATTCCGAAACGTAGACAAAATTATCATTAGATGAAAATGTATGATAGTATGTGACAAATGTCGGGAGCTTCCGGATTTGAGCTCTTTTGGTGTAATTCCAGTGTAAACTCTTTGTTGTTTTGGCGTCAATGTACCATGTACTCTAGTTCGTTCGAAATGACACTGAAACTCATTAACCCTAACGTCTATATCTTTTGCAGCACGGGTGAAATTTACTTCGACGTTGGTGTTCCCAATCAATGGAAACCTCCGTGCAGATCCGATCAGGTGTGGTCAGGCCCCGGAGACAAAAAAGTGAGGGAATTCTACGACAAACATGTTGACATTAAAAAATCAACGTTTCATCACAATCAGGTAGAGGTTAGTCGCCTACTGAAGAGCCTGTACAAGGAGCTAAAAACACTCGAGAAATCTCACCAGTTTCTGAGGTTCCGACCATTTGTGAAGCAAGGGGGTTCAAGAGAGCGCCTTAAGGTAGGAGAGGCAAACGAATTCGATGCTGTACTCCCTTTTACATTCCTAGGAACCACAGCCACCGTCAAAGAATCCCCCAGCAACGGCCTGCCCTCCGGTCATGGTGAAATCGAGATAAATAAGGTCAATAGTCGCATGACCGTTCAGCCGAAAAATCTCTTTTCAGAAAGAGATGGTAAACGTTATGTCAACTCAAGAGTCTTCCATGACCAATTCATAAAGGGACGAATTGATGCCGCTCTTCAGAAGTTGAACGCAAGACCCGAGTTCGCAGGCTTTAACATCAAACGCCAAGCTACCGCCCCAGCCATTAAACTCGACGCTAAGGTGAATGGTGAGCAAATCAGTATTGACGTCGTACCAGGATATGACATTCGAGAAAAGGGATCAACCTTGAGGAAATTCATGGTTTCCAGATGGATTCCAGGCTCCCAAAACGACAACCGAGTGGAGCCTATCCCCGACCCAAACACGGCGTGGCGTATATCTCACTCTCAATTCGAGATGCGCATACTGGATAGATGGATTTCCACAAACCTTACGGCACAACGTCTCGTGAGAGGCGCCAGAATACTCAAGGCCGTTCGAGAGCATGACGTCGAAAGGAACTCCAGCTCACAGCTGCATCATGTCCTGTCGTCCTATCATATCAAGAACGTTCTTCTCCATTCCATTTTGCATTTGAGAAAGATTGATGACGTTGGTTTGCCAAACGTGACCTCAGCGTGCAAACATCTTGTCCATATGATCGACACCTCCTTGGAACACAGAAACCTTCCACAGTTTTTTTCCAACAACCCAAGCCTGGAAGAGTATTTTCCTATTTACAACTTCCACACGGATTATCCGATGGTGAATTTGTTTCAGGAGCGTTCTAATGGCGATCTACAACAGATTCGAGCAGATCTTGAAAAGGCGCTTGATCACTTCAACCTGAAGCCTCTTCTGGACGATGTTGTGGACATTCATGAGGATAAGCTTGAGCCATTCTTGAGTAAGGTGAAAGCCGGCGGACCATCTATTCAACCGTAAGATTAAGGTCAAAAGACACAGCTAATACAATAATCCAACACTCAGATAAAGTTATTTTGTAATCAACGGTGGACGTCTTCTGTAACTTGCAATATTGTTATATTAATCATATCAAAGAATCGACGTGGATATATTATACGCGCAATTGTGTGTTCGTTTCCTCCCCCTAGTGTAATCATATGTGTGTCTTATGCGCTCATCTTTGATTACAGGGTAATGTGAGACTCACTATGTGTGTCCATCACACTACAGAGAATGAGTGGCATCTTCATAGCAATACCAATAGATAACATTATAGTATGTCTTCATTAGTAGACGAATCAATTTCCAATAAAAATGATGAAAGATTCTGTAGCTTTTACACATATTTCTGTAAATTTTTAAAGTAACATATATTTCTTTAGTGATTGCCTGTTTGTATTAACGCTTTATTAACATATATAAACATATATTCATGTCTTCTTATTGATATTGAATAAAATGTAAAATTACTGATGAATGATTTAGTTAGCATTGTCTTTTGTCTGCCAAAAAGGATTCTAACAATGCAACCTGTTCACATTAGCATTAGGTAGCTAGTAATGATTGCAACATATCTACATGGTTCCCATTGTCATTGACAATGATTCCAACATATATAAAAAGGGTCACATCGTCACTGGTCAGCCAAAAATGATTCTGGCATACAGATAGTTCACATTGTCACTAGACAGCTAATAATGATTTCAACATATTTGAATATTTTACATTGTCACAAGTCAGCTGACATTAAACTGATGCAGTAGAGATATACGATACTGTTATGGAGTGCGTCACCAGCAATCGGAGTATAAACCTTTTTTTGAATTATCTTTTAACAATAAGCAGAGCCTCACAAGACGTCCTTGTCCTTAATGACTTCCTTACTGATCATATCCGCTCTTGGTTGGGTTAAAAGCTATGCTAATACAGCTACGCCATGTTGGACGGTTCTTCGGCACTATTGGATCCGTGGTCTCCCCGTGTTTCCCTTGCGGCTTCCAATGAATGGATTTCGTGGGTATAAAATTGCAACCCTGCATTCTCAGCAGATGCCTTACAGTTTGGTTATTGTAGCACTTAATCTGTTGAAATTATTTTGTGCTTCATGTGTATCAATATCTAGGAGTGAGAAATATAAAAAAATGGGTTTTTTTATCAATAGAATAAAGATAAATTTATTTAGGAGTGAGAAGTGGTAAAAAATAAACCGTTATTATATTTTTTTCTGTGAAATAATAGAGTCAATACATATAAATTATATGTAGATTTCGGTGGCAAGATTTTCCTGTAAACTGTAAGCATTCATACGGGAACAAACTGTCCCTCTTTTGACCGATTTGTTTCTGTTTTATACGAAAGATGTGCTGTCTTTAAATATAAAAAAAATCATTGACCACATCCAACGTATATACCCTCCACTGCTTTAAATCTAGGAAATCACATACTCTTCTACTTCAGCCACTTTCCTCGATCTTCAATTATAACATGGCCAACAGAATCAAATAAAAATGTCTGTCTATAAAAAAGCGACGGGTTGTTTTGTTCGAAGAAGTTAGCGAAAGGGAAAATTATACACGAGTCATATGTAGTAGAAAAGTCAAGAATAGCTACACTCCACAGGTATTATACTGATTTGAAGCATGGAGATATTTAGTAAAAGGTATAACAACAGTATCTTAGGCTCCTAAACATTTTGTAAGTTTGAAAACTCAAGCCTTGTAAGAATATGTTTTGGGGAAAACCCAACCAGCACAACAAACCCATGGGAATTCCATATCAAATAAACCTTATATTAGGTCAGACCCTCTTATTTTGGATGACTGTGCTTCTGAAGCAACCGAAGTATATTGCTTGGCGTCAACAGAAAACAACGTTTTGGGACCGAAATCTAAAAATAAAGTATACAATGACAAGAAATTAAGCAATCCTGGCAATAGCGCACAAACAACATAGCAGATGAGGTCATAGAAATTCTTTCATGAATTCATATAAACCCTTACATTAAGAAAGTCGAGCATGTGAAGCACAAATGTCCATTAATTATTTTGTATTCGGAAGAACAGATAGCTGATAAGAAGTTTAACTTACTGGGGAAGGTGGGAAGCCATGGGTGCACAATGAAATACGTAGGCAGATCAGGATTCGGAATCGTATGCATAGGTTAGCTTAAGCAACTAATAATGCAGTACATTGGACAGACTTTCGGAAAAAGAGAATAGTTTTAGAATGATTTGGGAGCTACCTTCAGGGCCGAAGTCAGCAGGTTATTATAGAAGGAAGCTTTTCACAAAAGAGTTACATGCTGGGGTTCCCCAGGGGTCAATACTGGGACCACTCCTTTTTTTATATTTATAATGATATAGTAACTGATATTAATGCCAATATTCGACTGTTTGCAGATTATTCCTCACTTTTTTATTGTTGAAAATCCTGATAGTGCAGCAAATAAGTACTCGGGCCAGGCAGTGGCTAGTAAATTTCAACCCCAATAAAACTGAAAGTGTGGTTCTTACACAAAAAGAGAACGGCAACAGCTCATCCTCCTCTATTTATGAACAATACTCAAATACAGCAAGTATTACAACGTACACATCTGGGTGTAACTATATATGAAAACTGTTCTTGGCATGTTCACATCACTTAAATATCCTTGCCAAAGCATGGAAAATGCTAGGAATTCTTAGAGGTTTAAGATTTCAGCTGGATCGAAAAATCTTTAGAAATTATGTATTTTCATATGGAATATGCCGACATGATTTGGGGTAATTGTACCCAACAAGATTGTCGTGAACTTGAAAACTTCACATTGAGGCAGTCAGAATTGTGACTGGAGCAACAAAATCTGCATCATTCAACTCAATTAGATTAGAAACAGGATGGGAAACATTGTCGCATAGGTGATACAAGCATAGAATGAAAACTTGGTACAAAATATAACATGGTGCTGCACCATTTTATTTGCAGAATGTGCTTCCTCCTGTGATAGGAGCTGTCCAAGGTCACAACTTAAGAACCAATTTAAATATACATCCACCATCATGTAGAACTAATGTTAACATGTCTTCTTTCTTACCTATTGCCATTAGGGAATGGAATGCCATATCTTATTTTTTTTTTTTTTAATTTAATTTTTTTATTTTCAAAGATTTTCAGAACATGTACATTATACAGAACATCACATCAACACATATCCACACATTCACACATATCTACTATTGAAATTATCAGCAACCTCATCCTCCTCATCATCCTCATCATCTGATGCTGATTTTATACAATCACCAAGACACATTCAATTTTCACACACTTTCACACATAGAATAGACAAAACAAAGAGAGAGAGAGAGAGAGAGAGAGAGAGAGATCAGACTGCCAAATCTGAGAAGATACTAAATAAAATAAATAACTGCTGTGAGTATTTGTCAATATTTTGTTTTTTTTAAGTAGAATAACAACTAATAACTTAATATAAATAGTCATAATATTCAGGGTTAGTTGAGGTCAAGCTCTACTAATTTTAACCATTTTTCCCATTCAGAAGTAAATCTTCTAAGGCCTTGTTCCCCTTTACCACGAGCAATATATTTCTGAACCTTATAGTAATCTTTAATCGAATTGACTAAAGCCGTCACATTAAGTGACTTATGAAAACATCTGGTTTTGTATATATATTGTTTAATGAACAGAGTAATTTCATTATCAATTCTGGTATAAATTCCAGTTTGGTTGATAAAACCAAAGATCATTGATTCTTTATTTAGTGAGAAAGGAATAGTGAGAGCACTTAAAAGACTTTCAAAATTGCTCAGAAATTTTTGTACTTCCCTGCATTCCCATAAAACGTGGGTAATTGTCTCCCTTTCTATGATACAAAAAACACAGTGTGGGTTATTTACAAGTCCAATTTTGCATAAATAAGAATTGGTTGTTAAAATATAATGATTAATTCTAAATTGCAACCATTGCAATTTTGTATTTTTTGTAACCCTGAAAGGAATAGCATATATTTTCCCCCAAGTTTCCTGATTATAGTCGAATATAGTTCCCCATTTTGTTTGAGCAGTTATTGATGCATTATTTCTGATAAGTATATTATAGAAGTCTTGAGAACCTTTTTTCTTCTTTAAAATTATTACAAGATGTAACGGTATAATTGGGTATATCACATTTTTGTTTGGCAAATTAAGTTGTTTCAGATAATTCTTTATGCTTGTTATCAAGCCATGATATTCTAGATAATTAGTTATTGTACCATGTAGATCACAAAATTCCTTAAAAGACAAGAAAGAGTAGTCTGTGTTGTTTTTCAACAAATCATTAATTATCATAATCCCGTTTTTAAACCACTTACTATAAAAAACAACTTTATTACCAACAGAAATATTTTTGTTATACCATAAGGGTGTCTTAAGTAGGGCAAAATTCTCATTTTTAAACAGCTCCTCTTTTGCTCTTAATTTATACCATGCCCTAAACACATCTTTCCAAAACACATTTTTGCAATTTCCTTGAACTTTATTAAGGTACTCGTTTCCTGAGTTAGCCAAGATATGAGGATTTACACAAGATTTTAAAATGCTTACCCATTTACCTTCTGATCTAAAAAACCTTCTTATCCAACTTATTTTCAGAGCTTCAATAAAAGACATTAAATTAACCATTTTTAGCCCACCTTCTTGATAATTTTGGATTATTATGTCCCGTTTAATCTTATCAGTTTTGCTATTCCATAAAAAATTGAAAAGAACAGAATTGAGCTGTTTTATAAATTTTTCAGATGGATTAGGTAAGGAAATGAACAGATGATTCATCTGAGAAATTAATAAAGATTTAATGACATTAATTCTACCAATAGGTGTGAGCAACCTTCTACTCCAGCTCTTAATAAGAGCTTTAAGTTTAACTAATTTTTTATCAAAGTTCATTTTAGGTATTTTGCAAAGATCTACATGGAAATCTATCCCAAGAAGAGTAAATTTATTAACTCCCCATCTAAGATTCATATTTGGAAGGAGAACATCATTGCTGTATTTTTTACTGCCTATCCAGACAACTTCAGTTTTACCTACATTTACTTTAAGACCAGATATTTTTGCATAAATATTTAGTTCATCAACCGCCCCTTTCAGTGATTTTTCAGAACCATCTAATACCAGAGAAGTGTCATCTGCATACTGAGAGTTTAAGATGGGACAGTTATTAACCTTTATACCAGTTATACTCTTATTGTTTCTAAGGCGGATTGCTAAAACTTCTGCACATAGTATAAAAATATATGGAGCGATGGGATCTCCTTGACGACATCCACGATTTATTTTGAAAAAAGCTGATAAATTACCCCCCTGGTTTATAGCAGAGCTTGAATTACAGTGTAAAATTTTGACCCAATTTCTGATATCGTTTCCAAATCCAAAATATCTAAGTACTTCGTCTATGAATTTCCAAGAGACAGAATCGAAAGCCTTTTCAAA